GCCCCAGCACAACACGATGGGTTTTATCTTGTCCTTCCCCTAAGCCCGCTAAGATCTCGTTCTGTCTTCTGCCTCTGGGAAGGTCTCCATGATTTTTTTTTCCCCCCTCTAAATATATTTCCTTTCCAACTGAGGCGTCGGGGGTGACACTGAATAACTCAGGCAGGCTTTTGGGCAGGGAAGAAGGAAATACCAGGCGAGCTTTGCCTCTGTAGGTTTGCTTTGCACACGTGGAAATCCGTGCTGCAGGAGGTCTTCCCTGATTTCACACACACAGACAGCATCCTCCGTGCTCACTCCCTTCCTTAATCACACCCTTCTGCACGCTGGTGGTTGTGCTGCACCAAAAGCCATCCAGTTATAATGAGAGCTTTTGATTTTTCTGCTTTACCCATGAGTAATTAAATGGTTGGACTTGTTCTCCCCCCCCTCCTCCTTCCCGGCGTGCTTGTGGCTGTTCTCAGAGTCATCTGCAGTCTGGCATTTTACAAACAACTTGAGGAGCTGCTGGGAGGGTCAGGGAAGTGTGTGAGGGCAGCGTGGAGAGAGGAGAGCCTCTTCTGGGGAGCTCACAGTCCAAGCAGAGGCTGTAGCAGGAGAACATCAGCTCCTGGAGTGCTGGGGTCAGTTACAGAGCAGTGTTGCCTCACGTTTGCTGAGCTCCCTGTGGTGGACTGAGCCCGTGATGGGGGTTCTGGAGAGGCAGGAGGAAGAATCTGGGGCTGTCAGGTGTATGAAAAATAACTGGAATTGAGCTATGCAAATGCAAGGTAATAAAATGAGGTCGTTGTTATGGTGTGCTGGAGATAAGGTCTGGCCTGTTGGATAAATGAGGTTGTGCAAGTGTGGACAGTTCTTGGTGTTGTTTAAGGTGTATGTGGAGCAGGTACAGGCAGCTGTGACCCTCACAGAAAGCTCTGCAGGGCAGTGGGGGGTTCTGAGAGGGCTGGGCTGGGAGGAGGAGAGCTCTCAGCTTGGTGGTAAATGTTTACCCAGCCCTGGGCTCATCCCTTCGGCTCGGCGCTGGCTTCCCTGGCCGCAGGGGACTCCTGGAGCTGTGTCCAGGAAGGCACAGAGCTGTCCCAGCAGCACGGGAGAGGGCTTGGCAGGGAGCATTGAGCTGCTTAGCAACCACCTTCCTCCACTTCACTTCTGCTTGGCTTTCAATAGGTCCAATCTCCTGCCTCCAATTAACGGCAGGTTACTAATTCGCTTCTCAGATAACGGCACAAACGAGGAGGAGAAAAGATTCTTTCAGGGTGGTTTCACTCTCCTCTTGCATGATGAGGTCATGAGATGCTTTGGAAGCTGCTGGGTCAAAGGCAGCTGAAGCAGGCACTGGTGGTAACTGACCCTCTGGCAGCTTGGTGGGGATGCAGCTTTTTGGGGTGTTGAGCCCTCCACTTCCCTAGAAGAGTGATGGACTAAATAACCTCCTTGGAGAAGGGGATGCTGAGATTTTGTATGGCTGGAAATGATTTGAATTTTAGCCCCCCATGCTAATAGTTTGACCCCTTGTTTTCTAAAACCATCAGGCAGCCTTTGTGTGTATTCTGGTGCCATTCCTGAGCCCTTAGAGGTGCTGGATGACCTTGTGCTGTCTGTTGCTGTTAAGTAGGTGGCTTTCTTGTGCCACTAACTCAGTTCTGCTCTGAGTGTTGGTGGTTTTGCTGCCATGCAGGTGATAGAATCACTAAGGTTGGAAAAGACCTTTAAGATGATCAAGTCCAACCATCAGCACAACACTACTGTGACCACTAAACCATGTCCTGAAGTACTATGCTCACACTTTTCCTGAACACCTCCAGGGATGGAGACTCCACCACCTCCCTGGGCAGCCTGATGCAGCTCTTCAGCCTGTGCTGAATTTCTTCTTGGGTCTTGGCTTCACAGAAAACCAGCAGCAGTTGGGGGGGAACGTTTGGAGAGCCTGTATGCTCTCTGAGAGGCTTCAGGAAACAGGTCAGGTCAAGGTGGGCACCTGGCAGCAACAAAACAGCGAGTCCTGTGAGGTTGTTGTGCACTGTGAAGCCCTTTGGAGGGGGTTTGTGCCCCTCAGTGCTGTTGCTTTGGTCCTGTTGGCAGCTTCGTGGAGACTTGAACCATGTGTAGGCTGTTGAGGCTTTTATCTGTGCTTCTGGTTTAGTTTTTACCTTGCTTCCATTGCTTTCCACGTCCTGGCCCATGCTGCTTCATCATTCTCAGAGTCAGCAAGTTTAATTTATGGTGGATTTTGTAAAGGGATTGTTGAAAACCCCTCAGACACACTGCAGGGTGATTTCAGAGGTGAGTCAGGATTGTTCACATCTTTGCAAGCCTTTTGTCTCAACACCATTGATTTTTAGAGAATTATTAATTGCTAAGATTTATGAGCAGCATGGGGATATAACTGGATTTCCTGACTGAGCAGGGAGTAGTGTATTGAGATTTATGGGTGGAGACTAATACAGGGTGTAATTTTACACACAAATAAAAGGCAGTGAGGACGAGCTCATGGGCACTCCAGTACTGCCAGGGCTGGGCAGCTGGGGAGGAGGAGGACTCAGGACTGAGGAGCTGAATGAGTGCCTGGTGCAGGATTTGTCCTCAATAAATATTTGGTGTTTAGTTTATTGTCAGAAACACCTGAAATCAAAGTTATTTTAATATTAATTTGGAAACTTCCTCACCTTTGGAAACTGAACTGGAATGCTTCAGTAGGAAACCAGCTGCCTTTGTTTTAGTGGTCAGTGAAATGGTGTGATTTCATTCTGCTGGCAGCTCTTCCCAGTATTTGTATGGTAAATATATGTCCACTCTCCAAGCTACTCTCTCTGGCATGTTTTTGAAAATTCCAAGTGTTGAATCTCACATTTCTGAGCTGGAAAATGAAGGGCTTTTGTTAATTTAGGTTCTAAAAAATTGTCCCAATCTTTAACTCTGGAAATCTGGAAGATGGTGCAGGGCTGCAAAGAAAAGGATCTTAACTCTAACCCACGAGGAGGATCTCTTCTGCTTTCAGGTCTTTACCTGTGTCTGTGAAATGTCTGTGATATCCAAACTTGGCTGCAGGAGGACCAGGATGGGACTGGCTTAAATAACTGATGCACCCCTGCAGGGTGCTTTAGTGATGTCTAAGGAGCCCTGGCTGGCTGTGGCATGTGCCAGTGCTATGAACAGCCTGGAGTAGTGGCTTTCTTGATGGAGCTCTGACTGCACTGGGATCTGATGATGCTCTTGCCACTGTTGTTTACTGGTTAGAAAGCTATTAACTTTTTCTTTTCAAATGAGTAAAACTTAATTTAGCTCTACCAACCAACAAACACATAAAAAGCATCACGCACCTCTCAAGTTTTATTTTCCTGATTGGTCAATTATTTTATGATCAAATTACCCTTCATTTCATCTGTGTGACCAGCTGGCTGTTCATAGGAGTGGTATGTGTGTGAATAATTCTCTGACTAAAATTAACTGCAGAGACTTCCATAGATTAACTCTGTCACTTGAGAAACAGCCCAGTGAGCTGTGCCGAAACTGGTTGGCCGTGTCTTTGTGGTAAGGTGAAGTTCAAGTTGGTGTCAATCATGAGGGAAGCAGAGTTATTATGTAATGGATGCTTCCACTTTTGGTCTGCCCTGCTTGTGGGAGGGTGCTCCTCTTTGGCTGGCTTCCTTTGGGGTGCATCTGGAGAGAGGAATAGGATTGTGTGTGAATCCCAGTCCAGGAGGATGGGTTGTGCTCGTGTCACTTATACCTGATTGTTTGAAAAAGGAGATTCCCAGGGAGATCTCATCTTTTCAGAAGAGATACACAATGCTGACTTTCTAAGGGGTTTGTTTTGGTGTTTTTTTTCCTTCCAGGTCCTGTTCCAAACCAGCTGATACCTTCATCAGACAGCCAGAGGTACAGCCCTGCCACTCCAGGATCGTACTCCAACCAGGTGCCGGCCAAGGTTCCTCCCCATCCATCCTCTGGACAGTACAACTACAGTGGCTCTCAGAATGTTCCTCAATTAAACAATTACCAAGGACCTGGGCAGACTCTTAACAGACCACCAGTGGCCCCTTTCTCTGGGTCACCAGCACAACAGACGGGTCCCGTTCCAAAAGCGCCGCCGCCTCCGTCGCAGAACTCTGCTGCTGTCTCATCTGCTGGTGGCTTTCCTCCTGGAGCTGCCCCACCAGTGCTTTCAAACTGGCAGTACAGCCAGGCTCCCCTGAGTCAGCCTGTTGGGGCTCAGATGAGCCATTTGGCTCACGTGGCAGGGACAGGGTCAGCTCAGCCACCGTCGTCGCTGTCGGGAAATACAAACCCTCTGGGAAATTATCACTATGCTGCTTCTCCAGGAGGTCCTCTGCTCCAGAACAGCTATATGAAGCCAGGTAACCAGAACCCTTTGATATTTTGCCAGTGCCCGTTCATTTCTCAGTGTTCCTTTTTATAAAAAGGAATGTAGACTGGATTCTGCAGCAGCCCTTTGTTAGTGGAGTGAGGTTGTCAAAGCAGATGCACGTTGCAGATACTGGGGTGGTTTCTTTGGGTTAAACTGGAAGTTGTGGGAGCAGGGCAGGTGTTGCAGTTGGCTGAAGCAACCAAGTCCTGGACAGTGTCTTGTTTTGGGAAGCTGTGTGTGGGTTATGGTGTTTCTGTGACCTTCATTGTTCTGTCAGGTGGCTGTTGGAATCACAGAATCAGTTAGGTTGGAAAAGACCTTCCAGATCATCAAGTTCAACCATTGACCTAACTCTACCTTGGCCCTGGCTAAAATGTGTCCCTGAGCATCCATCTTCATGACTTATGAACATGTCCAGGGATGGTGATTCGACCACTTCCCTGGGCAGCCTGCTCCAGAGCTTGACAACACTTTCCATGAAGAAATTTCTCCTCATAGCCAACCTGTGTCTGCCCTGGCACAACTTGAGGCCATTTCCTCTTGTCCTATTGCTTGTTCCTTGTGAGAAGGGACCAGCACCAACCTCTCTAGAATGTCCTTTCAGGTCTCCTTTGAGCCTCCTTTGCTCCAGGCTCAGCACCCCCAGCTCCCTCAGCTGCTCCTCCCCACACTTGGCCTCTAGACCCTTCCCCAGCTCCGTTGCCCTTCTCTGGCCACGCTCCAGCCCCTCAAGGTCCTTCTGGGAGTGGGGGGGCCCAAAACTGAACTCAGAATTTGAGATGTGGCCTCACCAGTGCCAAATATAGAGGGATGATCTTGGTCTTGCTGGCCACACTAGTGTTGATCCAAGCCAGGCTGCTGTTGGCCTACTTGGCCACCTGGCCACATGCTGGTTCATGTTCAGCTGGCTGCGCCCCGGCCTACTTGGCCACCTGGCCACATGCTGGTTCATGTTCAGCTGGCTGGCCACCAGCACCCCCAGGTCCTTTTCTGCCAGGCAGTTTCCAGCCCTTTTTCCCCCAGCCTGGAGCATTGCCTGGGGTTGTTGTGACCCAAGTGAAGGACCCAGCACTTGGTTTAGTTGAAGCTCATAGAGTTGACCTCAGCCTATTGATCCAACTGTCCAGGTCCCTCTGTAGAGCCTCCTACCCCAACAACCTGGTGTTGTCTGCAACTCTGGCATGCCTCAGTCAAGTGGGGACTTTGGGGTTTCACAGTGGACACCTGTAGTCCTGTTCAGTGAGCGTGGTCTTCTGCAGCTCAAAGCTTGTTAGCACTTCTCTATGTGCAGTGGTGAAAAGATTTTCTAACCCTAAATATCTCTCTTGCAAAACTTGTGGTTATTATGGAAACAAAGTTAATGCTCAGGGTGCTCTTGGCCAAACTGCTGTCTGTTGTTACAGAGGTTTTTCAGGCTGAGCACTGTGATAGGAGTTACATACAGAAATATTGTAAATGTTAAGTTTAGCACTTTATGTGCAGTGGTGAAAAGATTTTTCTAACCCTAAAGCTCTCTTGCAAAACTTGTGGTTATTATGGAAACAAAGTTAATGCTCAGGGTGCTCTTGGCCAAACTGCTGTCTGTTGTTAGAGGTTTTTCAGGCTGAGCACTGTGATAGGAGTTACATACAGAAATATTGTAAATGTTAAGTGTTTTTTTTCCTTGTGAAATGCTTTTAGACCCATTGGTTATTTTTCCTGGTGCTGCTTTTTTGTTACATGCCTCATTTTGTTACGATGTCCAAACTGTCTTATGCTGACAGAATTTGTGAAACTTTCTAGCAGTTTATTGTGAAAACAATTAGGACTTCAGAGTTGGTGAGGAAAAAGGTGAAGGATTTTGGGAAGTGGCATATGAAATGAGTGTCTCACATCTGTGAGGGTTCTCCTATCCATTCAGTGGTGAACCCTCCTGAGCAATTTCCCTGGTAGTTTGTTTTTTTGTAGAACATTGATCACTTTTACAGTTAATTTAGCTCTTTTGGTGATCAGTCTCATTGACAGAACAGAGCTCTGCCAGCTCCTTGCCTGCATGGCCAGCTTCAGGCAGCATCTCAGACACTTCCAAGGCCTGTGATAGTTGTGTGATAAATTGCCTGCACAGAGTAATTATTCATTGGCTTTTCAGTGCCAAACACTTAAGTGAACAAGCAGATAACCTCACTGCATGTGTTTTGTTTTGTTTTTTCTTCCTCCTTTTTCTTTCCCTCCTCAAATGTGGCCATACTGTGCAGGCTCCTGGAGCTGCCTCTTCTGTGTGGTCAGGCATCTGTCAGGATGTTTTTGTGTATGGCTTGCAGGCTCCTGGACTGGGTTGAGACCTGGTGATGCTGGATAATTTGGCCTTGTCTTTTGAAAAGCTGAGTTTTCTGTTAACATACACTGGTGTCTTCCTAGAGGTGAAGAGCAGTTAACACTGGCCTGGGGAATAACAGGGCACAAAGGTGTGGAGGTGCTCTTAGGATTTGGCATTCTTTGAAGGGAGGAAATGCAATTTGCTTTCTAAATGGCTTGAGAAAGTCCTAGAATTTTAAAACAGAAACCATGAAAAACTTTTCTTTGACTTTTAACATGGAAGGTTAAACATGCCAGAGCAAAACACCCCACACTCACACAGTGAGATTACCCAAACTGCACATTGCTGATGCTTTCCCAAGTGAAATCTTTTTCCCCCAAGTAATTTGAGTAGCTGGAGAATCTGTACATTTCTGCTTGGCATCAGATTATTGAAGTGGAAGATGAGCCTTCTGCCAGAAGGGATCTGTTCAGAGTCTTCCTAGTTCATTATTCTCTGTGTAATATGTGGCTGTGCTATAACTTTATATGAAGCCCAGATTTAATAGTTGAATTTAGGATGCTTTCTGCACCTCTGGAAATTCTTACCAACAATAGCAACAAAAAGCTGCAAGAGGTCATGGCTAATGGCTACAGGATCCCAGTACCAGAAGACAATGACAGAAACAATCTGAAGTTGTGGAACCTTCCACACTCATGATAAATGAGATGCATAAATCCTTTGAATGGGGAATATTTTAGAGTTCAGTCTGTGTGTTTTCATGACAAAACTTTTTGTGACTTTTCCAGCTGGGTTGAACTCCTTAAAAATTAATCTCTTTACAGGATCTGCACCTCCACCAGTGACTCAGCCTTTAACTCCACTACACCCCCCTGCAAGGCCACCCTTAGGACCTCCACCAGTGGGTGGTCCACCTCTAGTTAGGCCATCCACACTGATTGCAGGACCACCTAATACACAGTCTCAGCTAAACTCAGCTACAAATCCAGAGGGTAAGAAATGATTTGCTCTTCTTGTTGGATTTGAACATTACAACTTGTTCTAATATGCAACCTTTAAAGTCAAGGACAGTGTTCTAGTGGAATGGACAACGTTTCGTAGACACTCAGATATTAAAATTGATACTAATGCAGCATAATTTTATCAAAAGGGAGCAGGTGAGGACCTGAAGTAAAATATTTGAGACTTGTTAATAAAATAAAAATAATTAACAGCTTGAAATAGATTTCTAAGTGCTGTTGGACACGTCCCTGTCTCCCATAGTTGCCATCTCTTTATTTTTAGTGCCCTAAAATGATATTGAAGTTGATTTCTCTGCCTCCTTGGCTGCTGTGGAGGACATACTCTGCATATGGCTTCCTGTGTTGTTTTATTCTGCAGGGGAAGCTAAAATGTGGAGCCTGTGATCCCTTCCCTGTTTGTGCAGCTGCACCTTATTCTTCCCTTCTCTGTGAAATCACTGAAATGCATATCTGGGATTTGTTCCCTTTCTGCAGGTTGTCATGAGAGGCTGTTAAGTGTCAGCTGCTGAAGACATATCTGACTGTCTCTGTCTCCTGTGGGCACTGCACAAACATGCCATTGTTTAGGAGCTCCTCAGGGCTCTGTATCAAACAGACCTGCAGCTGTATTGCATGCAGTGCCCATGCTAGATGGGGCCACGTGGTACCTGGCAGTTTTATTTTTCCATATGTACTTGCTCTGTCAAAGCTGTTGGTTCCTTGTATGTTCAGACTGACAATTTCTTGTTTGTGGTACCTGTGTGAGTACAAGAATATAATCTGTTCAGATTGAGGTTAGCTTTGGACACATGGAAACTGCTCTGGTTTAGCAAGTCTTTGTAATGAAGAGAATCATTCCAGGGCCCTGGAGACACAGAAATGTTTAGTCTGTGAAGCAGGGTGACCACTGGGTATGAGGAAGATTCCACATCTAATGCAAGGTCCTCTCATTGGGTCATCTGTGAAGATTTCTGTGATAATAAAAAGTAAATGGAGAACCTACTTCTCCTTAGCAGTAGATAATTGGGTTTGTCTATTTAGGCATAGTTCACTTACAAAAAGCTGTCCTTTGGGAGCACTCTCTGTTTCAAGGTTTCTCTTATCTCAGCTGGAATTTGTATCTTGACTGGTATGCAACCAAACTGTTGGTGTTGGAGCAGTGCAGGAGTAGCTGTATAAGTGAAGGGAATTGGGCATTTCTGTGAATTATCAGTGGAAAAAGTTCTTCAGGGAACTCAGCAGCTAAATTCCAAGGTGCTTTAAAATCTGCAGCCAGCCTCTGGTGAGGAGGGAGCATCCCCTGACACCTCACTTCATATCAGCTTGGAAATTATGGGGGGTTCCTAATCTAAAGTAATCATCAAAGATCACTCAACCAGAAGTATAAGGGCTTTTGTTTTCCTTGAGGGGAAAAAAGATGAAGTTTTATGAATGCCTTGTGTTGAGGTCCTGTCAGCAGGGGAAGTGTGTGAGAGAAAGAGGTTAAAATGTGTATTTCATCCACTTTCATCCTGGGACAGAAACAAAGCAGATCCAAACTGTTCTCATCTTAATCTTCATCCAGCAGGTAGGATTTCTTTGCAGTTAACCTTGTGACAACTTAGTAGCTTGTGAAAATATTTACTGGGGTTGTCTTTCTTAACAGGTGATGCTACATCTGCTGCCAGTGATGGGTCTGTGGTGCAGAACAGCTACGATGCCATAGAAGGTGGTGGCCTCATGGGTAAGGCTGTGGAATTAAAAAAGGTTTACTCTTAATGACTTTTATTTAAGAGTCTGGGCAAGAACAGAAATTCAGGCAACTATGTGCAAATGTAGACCCTTGGTTTGATGTCTCTTGAAGCTAAATATGAAATTTGAAGCACTGACAAGTGGGGATGTCTCTGCCTGTCAGTGTGCTGAGGCACTGGAGAGGATTTTGCCAAAATGCTGCAGTTGTCAGTTGGTTACACTTCAAAACTAAACAAGGACAAGAAGCCCTCCTGCTGTATTGCATCAAGCAAGCTGCTGTTCTTCAGCAATTAATTTTAAGTATTTTTCTTTGCCTTTAGCAACTCCACATTCTCCTGCACCCCCAAATCTTAAGGTGAATAGAAGCGTTGGGTATTCTTACCCCACCTTACCTCCAGGCTACCAAAATACTTCCCCACCTGGTGCACCAGGGGTGCAAGCATCTGCTTTGCAATATCCAGATGGATCCAAGCATTTCCACCAGGTAAAGATGGGCTGGTTGTTACCTCTGGCCCACCCGTGGGGTGAGTTCTGCATCCCTGGGCTCTGTTCTTCTCTGGGGCATCTTCACAGCCTGGCAGATCTCACACAAAACTAATGCTTCTGCTGACACCTGGGTACCAGTCTGGGAGAACTGTGCCAGCTCTTTCTGAAGTGTTCTATCCTTGAATCTGTTCAGAACATTTCTCTTGAAACCTTCTGCCTTTGGCATGTTTTCCTTCCCTTGGATTGCTGTTGTTGGCTGAAGGATTTGTGGGTTTTTTTTCTTCCTCCTGATGTTTCAAAGTGAATTGACCAATGCTTCTGCCAGCTCAGCCCCTGTGTTTTCAGCCCCTGTATTTCAAGAGCTCTGTAGAAAGCATGTGCTAATTTTTACTGCTGTTTTGTTACGTGCTGGAGTCCAAGTTTATGTAACAAGAAGTGTTTCTAAATATATCAGCGTAATAGGATGGCAGCTAATTGACAAACAAAACAACCACCACCAAGTGAAATATGTTTGCTTTTTAAATGAACTGTGGGTTTCTCCCAAATAATTGGTGTTCATTTCTGAAATTTTATTTGCCTCTAGCCTGCCCTGGCCACTAATCACTTAACTGCATCTATGAGTGGTCTGAGTCTAAACCAAGAAGGATTAAGACCTGTGAATCTTCTTCAAGAGAGAAATATTCTCCCTACGACCCTCTTGAAGGCTCCTGTCCCAAACCTGCACGAAGACATCCAGAAGCTCAACTGTAACCCTGAGTAAGATTATCCATTTACTATAATTTATCAAAATAAATAGAAGTATAAATTCCTACTTGTATACATAATGCTTCACAAAATAGTTTCTTAATTTTGTGAGTGGAAAACATTGAAAATGGGCTTCACTGTGTTATGATAAAGGTGGTAAGTGGTTTAAACTTGGAAGTGAGGGAAATTATCTGTGTAGAAAGTATGAGGAAAATATGTTGCTTGCAAGGCAGCTTTAGAGAGTTACAGTACAAAGCTTTTCCAGTATAGCTGGCAAGGAATAGGACTGAGAAAAGATAAAATAGGATTTAACTCACTTGGGTGAGGTAAACCAAACAGCTTGTGAGTGCAGCAACAGGAGTGACCTCTGTGTGGAAGCAATCATTTGAAACAGTGGAGTAAATGGAATGTCAGACAAGAGGCTGGCAGCTGGCTGTTGAAGTCACCTCTTTAGAGAGTTACAGTACAAAGCTTTTCCAGTATAGCTGGCAATGAACAAGACTGAGAAAAGATATAAAATAGGATTTAACTCACTTGAGTGAGGTACACCAAACAGCTTGTGAGTGCAGCAACACGAGTGACCTCTGTGAGGAAGCAACCATTTGAAACAGTGGAGTAAATGGAATGTCAGACAAGAGGCTGGCAGCTGGCTGTTGAAGTCACCTCTCTGAGGAGACCAACCCAACTGTGTATAACCAGGTGCTCCTGCCTTGCAAGCCTTTCATGGTAGGTAAAGGATATCACACCACCTTTGTGAAGCTGGGCATACAAATTACCTGGACTGGGTCTGAAAAAGGCCTGTGCACATCTGCACTGTGTGGAAACTCCTGAGATCTGAAGTCCCTGAAATGACTGTGGGGTTGTTTATACCTTGGGGTTTTTTTGTGTAATTTTAAGAGAACTTTTTAAACTTTGCTGGTTCAGATTTGTGTAGAAGACCACCTCAAAATGGTATTCCAAAATAACAGTTAGTGTCTGAAGATTTGCTGCAGCTTCTAATGTTGCTAGACTTAACTTTGACTTGAGTGACTTAAAGTGACACTCGAGTTCTGTGTAAGCAGCATGTGTCTAAAATATCACCAGAACTCAAAAGCCTGTCCCTTGGGTCAAGCTCAGACTAAACCAAAATGATTCGACAGAGTTGGAGAAGATTCTTTATCTGGAAACTGAAATTCACCATCACCAGCTCTAGAAAAACATAAAGGATGTTCTGTACAACTGAAATAATCATTTCATTCTCTGAAAGCCTCTGAAAATAACCCTTTGTCCTCCATGTAGGTTGTTCCGCTGTACCCTGACTAACATTCCTCAAACTCAGGCCTTATTGAATAAAGCCAAACTTCCTTTGGGGCTCCTGCTTCATCCTTTCAAAGACTTATCGGTATGACAAACATTCAGAACTTTAAATGCTGAAATATCAACTGTGCCTGTATGAGTCCAGAGCTGGACAAGGAATTATAAAAGGAGGGCAAGTATATTGGCTAATCTTGGCCCAGAAAAATCCCCCTGGTTACTGACATCTCCCTGTTCCATACAGATCATTGTCATTTTTCTGATACTTCTTTTTTATTCCCTACCATTTTTAAACTTCTAAGCCTCAATTTTAATCCAAAAAAACCTCCTAAAGTTCAGAAAATCAGAAGCTTAGAGGCAGCACAGCAGTTGGACTGCGACAGAAGGCAACACATCTAAATGCTGTTATAGCTTAAATAGCTTTATGTTGTCAGGTATCAGTTGTAGTTATTGATTTCCTATACCAAACCTGGAACTGATTCCTAATTTAATCAGTAATCAAGAAAGTTAAAGGGGTTTGGATGCCCTCAGACAGTCAGGAGCCTTTGTGAATTTAGCAGAGCCTCTTTTAAAGGTTATTATTTTTCACAATTCAAGTAAGTTTTCAAAGATGTGTGGGGTTTTTTTTCTGATTTTTGATCTGTAGTGTGTGTAGGACTTAGTCCCTGGATGGACTAAACCATCCATGTAGAATTCAAGACTTTAGAGGCTTGAAAAAGGGAACTACACAGTCACAAAGGTTAGAGCTTGGTTCCGATCAGCCCTCTAAGGAGCTGTGGGGAGCTGTGAGGATGCAGAAGTGCCTCTTCCTTCAACAAGTATCCTTTGAGCAGCTAACCAGAAAGCAGAGTGTAGATGATGTTATGAATAGCTGTGGTGTGGTGAGGCTTTCAAACAGGAAGCTTTTCTTTTCCAGCAATTGCCAGTGGTGACTTCAAGTACTATTGTGAGGTGCCGTTCCTGCCGGACGTACATTAACCCTTTTGTCAGCTTCCTAGACCAAAGGAGGTGGAAATGCAATTTGTGCTACAGAGTCAACGATGGTAGGTTCTGAACGTGCTGATTGCTTTGAGCTGTTAAGGTTTCCCCTCTCCCACGTGGCCTTTCAGGGCTGTAATGTTGTTGGCTGTACCAGGGCTAGGGATTGTCCTCGGTCGTGCTGGGGCTGTGAGACTTGAGAATGTTTCCTGTGGGTAAAGAGAGTGGTGTCATCAATCATAGAATGTTTTGGGTTGGAAGGGACCTTTCAAGGTCATCTGTGAAGCACAGCAAGTGTGACTTGGTCCCCTAAGGTACCCTAGCAGGTCACAAAGCAGCTGCCCTACCTAGTGTGACTTAAAGTGACACTCGTTGTCACTTTTTTAAAGTTTTCCAAGAATTTTTGCCCAACAGGCACAAAAAGCTGCTGTGTAAGTGCAGCACAGCTAATATTGGTGTGAAATAATAATATATAAACTTGCCTGCACAGTCCCTGAAGAATTCATGTATAATCCTGTGACAAGAGTTTATGGAGAACCTCATAAAAGACCTGAAGTCCAGAATGCTACTATTGAGTTTATGGCTCCATCTGAATATATGGTAAGGCTTGATTTACTTCTGGTTACTCTCTCCCTTTATTTCCAGAGGGAAGTCAGGAAAAGCCTCGTTATGGAGGATGATTGCCAGCTCTCAGTGTATCTGAGAACTCTTGGGAAGAACTTCAGATAGTTCTTTACATCTCAGCATTTATGCTGTCCAAGTTCTGCATTTAGAGTATGTAGATACTTGTAGGTCTTCTGGAAGAAGACTATGATTCTGTAATTACCCAACAGTTTCAGCTATCATCTGTGTGCTCTTTTAGCAGAGTTTAGACTTGCAGGGGAATGAATAAACCCCATATAATAAAGGCCATTTTGAAACTTAAAGGTGATCTTTTCTTTGCTCAGCTACGTCCCCCTCAGCCACCTGTGTACCTCTTTGTGTTCGATGTCTCTCACAATGCAATAGAGACAGGATACTTGAATACAGTCTGCCAGACCCTGTTAGACAATCTTGACTTGTAAGTACCTTTTTCTTAGCATCCTAAGATGTTATTTTCTCCTATTTTTGTTCTTCTTACGACACTCGTGACAGACATCAACACACCAATGTTTCCTGCCTTGAGGCTTGTTTCTCTGGCTCTTTCCTGTCTGCTTCACCAATCCCCAAAAGGAATAAACTTCAAGTTTATGATGTCTTTTGAATTGTATTTTTTTAAAAGCTGAAACTTAGATAAGAATTTGCTGAAAGGAATGTGTACCTCTTAATGCAATTTTCATAACATACATGCTGCTTGAACGTGCATAAGTACTGCTTGGTGTTTTGCAGCTTGTTTCTTCCTTGCCTTCCATTTATTACCCTCTTGAAAAACTTTCTGGAGTGTCCCCTAAATGACTTTACTATAAGCTCCTTTTTTTTGCTTTAACTCCACAATGACTCAAGCTCTTGCAGTGTAGCTGTTAAGCCAACTACTTGGTAACAGCCTTGGACAGGTGCAGTGAATATATTTTAAAAAAAAAAAAGGCCTGCAGAAATGAAATTTCATCTTGCTGAACACCATATGTCTCATTTTTAGGCTTCCTGGGAACACCAGAACAAAAATAGGCTTCATAACATTTGACAGCACAATCCACTTCTACAGTCTTCAGGAAGGTCTCTCTCAGCCTCAGATGCTTATAGTTTCAGATATTGAAGGTATGCAGAAATGGATTCTGTGATGAATATCTGCTGGTGGCTGCTGGCTTTGACAGCCTTTGGTGGGAGTTTCTGGAGCAGCTCGTTAGTGTCTGTAGTCATGGCTTTAGAAATGGTGTCAGCTTTTATTGGTGAGCAATGCTGTGGCTGCTCCTGACTGGAAAGATGAAGGCAGCCTTCCTAAATTCTCCTTTAATTTGTACAATTATCTACATCTCTGTTATCATCTCAAATACTGGTGCTTGCCAAGTGGTTGTAGATTCTCTGGTGACTGATACAAAGTGCTAAAATAATAACTGAAATGCTTTTTTTTTTCTTTCAGATGTATTTATATCAATGCCAGAGAACTTACTAGTAAATTTAAATGAAAATAAAGAGGTAAGAATGACCTTATGTAGCTAGTGACATCCATATAAAAGTCTTTTAATTTATCTATATGACTGTAAACTTATGCCAGCTTGGAAACAAGACAGTATTTGACTTTTTCTAGGCTTTTTCTTTGCTACTTTAATATTGCCTATATTCAGCAATCAGCTCTATAAAGAAAACTCCAAAGACTCCTAGTCCTAATAATTTTGTTTCCTTAATTGTAGCTAATTCAAGATCTGTTGAGGACCTTGCCACAGATGTTTACCAAGTCCCTGGAAACTCAGAGTGCTCTGGGACCTGCATTGCAAGCAGCCTTTAAACTGATGTCCCCCACTGGAGGTCGAATCTCTGTCTTCCAGACACAGCTTCCATCTGTGGGAATGGGAGCACTGAAGTCACGAGAGGAGCCAAACCAAAGATCATCTGCAAAGGTCAGAAAAGCAGAAAGATTGAGGGAATTGACTGCCCTGCTCTGGATGTGTAGGTGGCTCTGGAATTGCCTGTTCTGGGTTATTTTTGGGGTTCCCTTGTTGAGCTGACCTTCCTTTGTTAAAGTAGTAGAAGAAAAAAGGGGAAAAAAATAAATAAACCCAACAACCAAGCACTATAAATACAGATTGATAATCTGATGGGTTTTTTAGATATCACTGTAATCAGTGATGGAGAATGAATTATTAGTGTCCCTGAAAACAGGCAATAAATGTGTTAATCTGTTTGAATTTCCACTGTGTTATCAGGACATACATCTGACACCATCAACTGACTTTTACAAGAAGTTAGCCTTGGACTGCTCAGGGCAGCAGGTTGCAGTGGATTTATTTCTTCTTAGTGGACAATATTCTGACTTGGCTTCTCTAGGTGAGTCATTAAGTTGATTAGGGTGTGTAACTCTCGTGCTTGTGGTAAATACATAGAATCTACATTAACATTTGGTATATAAACCTGATTTGAATTAATCTAGTGTGTCAAGATGCAAATTCAGCCTTGATGAGCAGTGGCAATGAATAGACTCTGATCTTCCAGCCTCTCCTGATTTAACCTGGCTGTTTTCATGTTGTCCCTCAGTGAGTCAGGATTCTTGTGATCCTGGTATAAGTGGCTGAAATACTTTCCTTCTTTAATACCTTTAATAACTGGCAGTGTAAACATCTTTAGAGTAAGCTTTGTCAGCATTTTAATTACTACTTTTCCATTTAATTTCATACCAAAACTACATGTGTGCTTGAACATAGGGTTGTGTTACATCTCTCTGTGTGGGTCTAGAACTGTAAAAGAGCTATTTTATTTGAGCAGTTTGATTATCAAAGGCAATATTGCATTCAACTGGGGTATTTAAAGACCACAGCAGCAACTGTCTGCACTCTGCCAACGTATCTTTGTCTTGTTTCAGGTTGTATATCCAGGTATTCTGCAGGTAGTGTCTATTACTACCAGTCTTACCATCATAAACACAACCCTGTCCAGGTGGAGAAGCTGCAAAAGGAACTGAAACGATATTTGACTAGAAAGATTGGGTTTGAGGCTGTCATGAGGATAAGATGCACCAAAGGTCTGAATGCAGTTTGGGTTTTTTATCTTTGGGGGGTGGGCAGAGGGCACATGGGCGTTTGCTGTTATCTGGGAATGTTTTAGCTGGTGTTTTAGCTTTTAGGTAAGCTTAGATGGATAAAAGACAAAGTTTAGAAAAGTGAAATGCAGTACCAGGAATCAGACCACTTATTAAAGATGGTATTTACACTATCCACTGGCACCCAAGGTGCATTTTAGTGGTTAAAACTGGAAACTTTGGGCTTCTGGGACTTCAAGGGACTGTTCTTATAGTCTAGAGACTTATGACTGTTCTGGTCTGATCTGACTTCCAAATTCCTGCTTTCTGCTAAGCTTTGTGGGTTCTGTGGGTTCATTGCCTGTTAGGGTAGTTCTCTTCCCTGAAGATAATTCATTTCATTGAGAAGCATCTTGGCACTCTGACACAGAGCCCCCCAACATCGATGGCCAGTGTGAAACAGTGTCTGTACCCCCCAACTACAAAGATAAAACTGACTCACTGCAGTGCTCATCTTGTAGGTCTTTCCATCCACACCTTCCACGGGAACTTCTTCGTGCGGTCCACGGACTTGTTGTCTCTGCCCAACGTGAACCCAGATGCAGGATACGCTGTGCAGATGTCTGTGGAGGAGAGTCTCACTGACATGCAGGTGGTTTCTTTTCAGTCAGCTCTCCTGTACACCTCCAGCAAAGGTGAGGAGCACCCACTGTTTTATCTAATATCAAGACCCCAGCTGATGTGCTGCTGCATGTTGTTGATGTTAGTGCTTCTTCCAGACTGAGAAGCTTCTTGAGAAACTTTGTTCTGCTCTGCAAACAGGTTGACTTTACCCAGAAACTGAAAACTGTTTTCAAAAGCTACTGGAAATGCCCCAATTCACCACTTGTATGATAAATAAGAATCAGTCTTAATTATTATTTTTTTTGTTATTGAGTAAATAGTGGAATTTCTTGTTTTATAAATGACAAGTTGTGTTTGGAGGCTACAGTTTTCTTTCCTTACAGGGGAAAGACGAATTCGTGTCCACACTCTGTGCTTGCCTGTTGTCACCACACTGAGTGATGTCTACCTCGGGGCAGATGTTCAAGCCATCACTGGGCTGCTAGCCAACATGGGTAAGCACCAGAAGAGCTGGTGTGGATGTGTGTGGCTGATGGCTCTAGAGCTCTGAGCAGTAACCCTGAAGGGAGTGACGTTAGAAGAAAACATTCTCTTTCTAAGTTGCAAACCCAAGAGGCTGGTTGGTTTATCTTTTAATGCCTGGCTTGGGTGAAGTATCAGTGTGGCTGTATGTAGTCACCTGGACTTAGTCTTAGGCTGGTGCATCATCATGGGCCTCTGGGTTTTTTTTCTGAGTTTTTTTCTGAATCACTTGTTTTTACTACACTATAGAAGTCGTCAAGACATCTTAACACACATGGATGGATATATTAAAATGAAAAGAGTTAAAATACATGACTCCATCCCTACCAGGGGAGGAGAAGCCTGTGCTCTGAGCTGTGTTCTGTTTCCAGCTGTGGACAGGTCTGTCTCTGCCACGCTGAGTGACGCTCGGGACGCCCTGGTCAACGCGGTGATCGACTCGCTGGCCGCGTACCGCGGGGCGGTGCTGGGCATCCAGCAGCCTGGGCTCGTGGCCCCCCACTCCCTGCGCCTCTTCCCGCTCTACGTCCTGGCACTCCTGAAGCAGGTGAGGGGGCAGAGCCAGCCGTGCAAGAGGGACGTGTGTCTGAAGCCAAAGGATGTTTCTTTGGTGTCCAAAACAGCCTCTAGCTTCTCTTCCCGGCTTTTTGTAGGACTCGAGAGTGAGATGGTGCTGGGTTTAGGTTAATAAAACCTAAAGTCTTCCTGCAGTTTGCCATTAGAGCACTGAGATGTCTTAAAGATTTGAGAATGGTCCTTTTTGCACAGATAAAGTTCTCTCCAGGCAACAATTCCATCTCTCTGCACTCTGGTGACTTGGAAAAGTCAATGTAGACAAAGCCTGTTTAACTGCTTCTCAGGCCTGGGTAGATAACAACATGATTTTACAGGTGTTTTTATCCTGGGAGTCTGTTATCCAAATCCTTCCATTATTTGTAACATAATTTTATGGAGCAAATGTATTGGGCTGGGAGTTTTATGTTATGAATAATGGAGGGATTTGGATAATTTTATGGAGCAAATGTATTGGGGTAACACAGGCCTTCTGCTCTTGCCTGCAGAGGAGAGAAGTAGGGGATGGAGAAGATGTTTAAAGAATGTCGTTATGGAGAATGATCCAGTTGATAAGTGGGAATTTAGAAGTGTGTGTATGAAAATGAATGTGTAGATGTTTTAAGCAGAGGAATAGGAAAATATGAAAGACACTGACTAGCCTAGAGTAAGTATTTTTTTAATTGGATTTCCCTGAACTGATCCTAGAAGTCATTTTAGGCATTGGACAAGCCAGCTTTCTGCCCTAGAGAACTTTCTGATTTCTCCCCCTTGATGAGGAACCAACCAGCATGTTGTCAGTATGGACAAACACACTAGTATAACATCAGAACTTCTTCACAGAGATTTCCTGAGTGTTTGACCAGTCAAGTGGGAGAAGGGAGCTCTTGTTTCAGTTACAGCTGGGGTTTTGTCCCTATGATCCAGGAATATATCTTTATTGTAAATCCAGAATTACCCTAAATTCTGTACATTAAAGGCAATTGTAAAATGCTCTGATATTTATTCTTTTAAAATCTATCAAGTAGCATTTTTGAGGTGTATGTGAGACACATTCCCAGATGCTTTCATCTCAGCTGTAGTGTTCACTAGACAGGACTGATGGTGCAAGCTCATGCAATGGGAACAAGGAGACTTGCATGATTTTTATCTGGAACACCGAAGAGTGCTACGGAGAAGTAAAACAGCAGTGATAAAATACCACAGGAGGAGAAAACACCTATTCCTCATCTCTAAGACTTAAGTTAGAAATGAACAGTAGATGGTGTGCTAAATCCAGCTTCTCTCCAGGTGAAATTAAATGGCTGCTTGTTTGCAGAAAGCATTTCAGACCGGGACGAGCGCCCGCCTGGACGACCGCATTTTCTCCATGTGTCAGGTGAAGAACCAGCCCCTTGTTTACCTCATGCTCATGACACATCCCAGCCTCTACAGGGTTGATAACCTCACAGATGAGGTGAGTGTTTGCATTGCTCCATGGGCTGTTTGTCTGATCCCCCAAAGGTTGGTTTGTTACAAAATAAACGTGGGTGAAAAGTCTCACAGGTTTTCCCCAGTAGAGCTGCGTAGCTGAAGCTTCCTGGTTTGTGTTGTGCCACTTGTTGCATTTATGCATTTATTTGGGGCTGGGTGGATGAATTCTGGAAGGAATTAGTGCTCTGGGTAGGGAAGGGTTTTTCTACCTTGTTTCACTTCTTGGCTGTGTCATTACCTGGCACTATAAATCATGTGTACATAAAGATGGGGTAACTTACACTTTACTTGTCCCTCTGTACCTTCCTTTATTTTCAAATGTCAAAAGCAGCTCTGTGAACAGTCAGAAGATGTTTATCTAAGCCTGAAAAATTTCAGAAATCACCTCTTTTGTACAGAACAGATCTGGTATTTCAGTTCTACATTAACTAAGATTAAGCTGATAAAATAAACTCTCTAAAAAAAAAACCAGAGAATAGTAAATTATGAAGTATGACTTGAACTAAGCTGAGAAAAAAGGTCCAGCTTCAGTATTGAGTGTCATACATCTTCTCTCATTTAACCTTCTGTTCTTGTGCTTGTTTCAGTGTATCAATGTGGACCACTGGTTTTCTTTTTGCTATTTTCTGTAGGGGGCCCTTAACATAAATGATAGGACTATACCTCAGCCACCCATTCTCCAGCTGTCCGTGGAGAAGTTGAGCAGGGATGGTGCTTACCTGATGGATGCTGGCTCGGTAAGTTGGGGGTGGTGATGGTTTTAAGAAGTATCCAAATTTACTTGCCGTGCTCTCTCTGAGCACTCAGAATGTGTAGGAAGCTGCCAGGGTGTGGCTTGGTGTGGGATTAATGTTGTCACTGCCTTTCAGGTGATGTTCCTCTGGATTGGGAAGAACTGTGGGCAGGGATTTATCAGCCAAGTCCTCGGAGTTCCAAATTATGGCTCAATCCCCCAGAACATGGTATGTGCTTGCTTTGCTGTGCCCCAGTTGTATAGTGCTGCCAGAATACTATTTTCATAAGAACTAAAATACCACTATTCAATTATCAGCCCCCTAGTTATTATTAACTGTAAATGCAGGTTCATGGAAGTAATTTCTGTTGCCTCTCTTGGAGTTTCTCCAGGGTAGGACTGTAGAGATCCTGCCATGAAAGCAGAGTCAGACAAGGCTGGTGAGGATTAACTGGGAGCAGAGTGGGAACACTTGTGATTAGTAAGCACAGGGGGTTAGTGGGAAAGCCTTTGGTTTCTGGAATAAAACAGTTACTGAGCACAGCCCCATTCCATCCTCACTGGTAGCCAACTGCTGATACCAGCTTAGTGCACTTCACTGTTTCAAGCCCTTTCAAAGATTACAACTATACATGACAAAACAAATGTCTGGGTTTCCTTTATACCTGATTAGAGGAGGCCTGGGCTGGTTTATGTCTTCCTTTTACTGTTTTCTGCAAAATTCCATGTATGTCTTCATGATACTTTTTGCTTCTTAGACCCATCTCCCAGAACTTGAAACTGCAGAATCCATCAGAACAACAGCTTTCATTTCTTGGCTGAGAGAACAGAGACCTTTCTTTCCCATACTATATATAATAAAGTAAGTGGGTTTTTAACAGTCTTTGTGCTTCTTCAGGGACCTTGTAACAACCCATGTTTGGATATCAAGTACTCAGCTTTCTTAGAGGCAGTTTTAATGGTGGTTTGTGCTGTGCTGAACAGACTTGACAATGGATGTGACTTGCTTTGAGTTGTCTCTAGTTAGAATTTCCACTGGCTTAAAAATACTAAATGCCACAGAACAGTATTTAATGTTGGCTAAATGAAGTAAATGCTGATAAGTGACTTGTTGGGGTTCATCACTGGGGCTGTTTGAGATCCTCTCTTCATATGTCCTTAAACTCTTGACGTGTCTTGCCACTTGACCTGTAACTTTATTAATTCATTGCACTGTAGATCTTTGTGACTATTTCACTCCAGCTCTTATTTTCATTTTTTAAGGGATGACAGTCCATTGAAATCAAGTTTCCTGCAAAATATGATTGAAGACAGAACAGAATCAGCCTTATCATACTATGAATTCCTTCTTCATATACAGCAGCAAGTGAATAAATGAAACACTAGCCTTTGGCTCACTACTTTAAGGAAAGATTTTGCAGTAAAGAACGATTGTGCTTGTAATATCTCCATTAAATCTGTGGCCTGAGGCAGTTGATGAGAAGTTCTCACTGTGATTTCAACCAACTAAAGCAAATAAAGGACCACATCTGAGAATCAAACGTTCAGCAACATAATATTGTACCTTAAAAAAAGAAAATCAAACTGTTGGAACTGGTTGAGCACCTTTAATTTGCTGCAAATCATGTTTTTACTGTAAGTAGTTGCAGCATGAAGTATATTTACAAAGGCAATACTGAAAAGGTGAAATACATTTTGTAAAATAAAGGAGTTCTTTGTTGTTCAAAATGTATATTTCTGTAACTCTTTGCTTTTTTTTTTGCTGCTAGATATAAAAACCTCACAAATACTGATCATGATTGGCAGGGAAATTAAGTGCATCCAGTGATTACAGAGAGAGCATCTCAGTGTTCAACTTAATGCTTAAAGTAGCAATGAAACAACTGTTCATTGTGAACTGAACAAATACTTGTGAAGTGTAGGATCCATGCTTGGCTTGGATTGGGGCTGATAGGACTTAGAGGTAAGCTGAGCCCACACAGGGTGGCTGAATTTGTTCAAGCTTTTAATTAGTCAGTATTTGAATTTTTAAATAAGGGGGTAGGAGCAGGGCCCTACATGAGATGTATTTTAAAAAGTCAGTGGCTGTGTCAGCAGCAAGAGTAGACTTAGATAGATGCAAGCTTTGTTTTCCTTCCATAAAAGGAGTAGTTTTAATTTCAGTTTGGTGTGGGAGGGGAAGGGCAAGGAAGGTGATCTCAGATATTTTGATTTACATGTAGTAGACTTTTTGACTCTTGTTTACATGAACTGAATGTTGGGCCCCTAAAATCTGATGTGAATTGGTGTGACAGCACTTCAAACCTGGTGTTTCAAGACAGCATTGAATATTCTGATGTTAAAATGGGAAATTATTTTCCAAAGACAAAAAGATTTGTTTATGGTTTGAGACATGCTTGAAGCTTTCAACATTTATTTTCTAACTGCAGCTGTGTAAGGAGCAAGACCCTGTGCCCATGGAATTATTTCATATGGAAAAATCTTGGTCTTGCAAAGACTCCCTGGGGCAAGTAACTTGAACAGATAAAACACTTAAAAAGCAGTCCAACATGTAGTGAGATTAGGCTGATTAACTTAGGTTCTGTGAGATACTGTCCAAGGATGTCCTAGGGTAACAAATCATTTGCTGTCAGCTGCACGTCAGGAGCTGCCTTACTTCAGGGGAGGAGTTTTTTTGGGGGACATTGTTCTTGTCACTCAAGCACAAGAAGCTGGAGTTCAGAACAATGTCTAAAGGAGCATGAAAAGACTATTCTAGCACCAATTTAAGCTTCCCTGTCTGCTGTCTGTGGAGCAAACAGGAATGTATTTACTTGAACAGCTTTTCAGAGAATTGCACAGTTTCTAGTTATAGTGACAAAGGGTTTTAAGTTTTGACAGTCTGATTTTATTGGTTTTTTTTTCTGAGGGAAAGGGGGTCTCCTCATTTAAACCATAAATGGAAGCTATGCACTTGCATAGGGTATGACTTAAAACTCATGTTTTGGGTATATTATCACTCAGATGTTGAAAATCATCCTTGCATCTAAGAGCCCACCCAAAGTCTTGTTTCTTACTATGACTGTATTTTGCTACTGTATCCCTGATGGGTTTTTTATTTTAAGTTGGAGGTGGCTTCATTGCTTTATGTACACCAGACTAATGGCTAAAGATGTCAGTCTTTGTGGCAATTAACAACTTTGAATTAGTCCCTAATTTACAGAGCAGACCTTTATAAACCAGGATCAGATGAACGTGCTCTTTGCTTTGGAAGAAATTCCATGTTGGAAGGGGTTGGTTTAACCAGCAGGAAGGGGCTGCTGGTTCCCTGGGTGTTGCTGTAGGGGTGACACAGGACAGACCAACACAAAAATGACCTAAAATGTGGCATTTTTACCTCCTGTTGAAAAAATCAGGACATGGAAGATGAACTGCAAAGACAGGCAAGAGTGGCTCTGGTATTTAGATCTCAGCATGACAGCTTTACCACTGCAAGTGTTCTCTATTTTTCTGGTTGAAGACCTTTTTTTTTTAAACTATTTCTGTATTTGAGATGTTAGTGTTCAGCCAACATTGTTACCATCCATTTTACTTTGCTTTCATTATTGTTTTTAATTTAATATATTTGAGTCAAAGTCCACATAGACTGTGTTGCAATAACTAGAATGATTCATTTTTATTTTATTTAGAATTAATTTCTTAACAGAATTTAATCAAAGATGCAGAATGGCTGTTAAGTAAGGGACCATTAAATGTGATTTTAAGGTTCTGTTTACTATTATGGATGTAATCCTTATAGTAAATTTAATTTTGTAAAGTAGTGTATAATATTGTAATATTGAATCTTTGTTTTCTGAACTCAAACATTGGATCTTCAGTATGAAGTTATAAATCTTCCCCCCTTCTGAATTTGAGACAGGATTTACTTGTCCACCTTTTTACAGTTTGTAATTTTCACTGTTTTATTCCTGTAAAAAGTCATTTGTAACACATGCAAATGCTTATTTTATCTGTGCTAATTTATCAGATTTGGCTACTCAATAAAATTAATTGAAAGAACTCATGCAAGTCCATCAGTCCTTTCTTAAAAAATTAGAATAAGGTACTTGATCAGGCAAGATAAATACCACATACCAACAAGTGATAAATTCTACTCTTAGCTAAACATGAAGTGATACAAACTGAGAAGGGATTTTCTGGAAAATTAGTTCTCTTCTGTCACTGGCATTTTTTTTGCCCCTCTGTCAGCATTTTCAGCCCTGCCCTGGGGTTTGTTCTTCACCCCAGCAGCCCCCACGGTGGTGCTGCACCCTGGCTGGAAGCTGGCACTGGTGGTTGGAGTTCAGCCTTCAGCAGTGTTCCATCCTACTGTAGGTAATCCTGTGTCTACATCTGATATCATCTTCTTTCAACTCCTTTTTGTAAAAGTCATTCCATTTTATGCTTGCCAATTTTTTTTATGAGCTGCCATCACTGCTGTGTCTGGTTCATCATGAGCTCAGTACTTTGAGATCTGTATTTGACAGGTTTTGAATGCACAATTCTAGCTTTCTCTAAATGATTTAATATAGTGGAAATATTAATTGGACTTGTCAACACAAAAGTTTTTCCCCAGTTCACATAACAATCTGTCCTGTTGCTACTGAATTTCACCATTTGGGCTGTGGCAGCCACCCCAGGGCAGGTCCTTGGACCTCCAAGGACAGGAGTCTTGTAGCCAAGTCCTGCTTCTAATTGAAGTGCCTGTGGTGCTGTCTGGGAGTTAAGGAGTGTAAGTTGTTCAGTGTCAAGGATATTAAAGGTAGTTAGTTTGAAGAGTTGATGGAAAGTATCACTTTTTGCACTCCCCTTGATCTGTTCTGCCCTAAGGGCACAACTGGGGCTTTGCTCTGTGAACATTGGGTGCTAGAAACTAAACAGCTCTGGGAACTTCACCTTGTGAATGTTCTGCTGCTTTTGTGTGGTCACAATTTTAACTGCTTATTTTTCTTGTTAGTGTTATGTTTCTAACCAAAATACTCTTTACCTGAATGTTTGCTTATTCTAATATTTTGAGTTCCTAAGTTTCCACATGGAACACTTCTTTCATCTCTCTGTACAATAATGAAAATGCTACCACAGAATGATAGAATGGTTTGGGTTGGAAAGGACCATAAAGATCATCTTGTTCCAACCCCCCTGCCATGGACAGGAACACCTTCCAGTTGCTCAGAGCCCCATCCAACCTGGTCTTGAACACCTCTAGTGATGGAGCATCTATGACCTCTCCAGGCAACCTGTTCAGTGTCTCTCCACCCTCACAGTGACAAATTTCTTGCCAATACTGCACCTAATTCCATCCTGTACTAGTACATATTGCATTGTTAACCAGCTTTGCCTCACGAACACAAGGGGGATTTACCATAGAATCACTGAGGTTGGAAAAGACTTTTAAGATCATAGAGTCCAACCATGTACCCAACACGACTATGACCACTAAACCACATCCCAAAGTGCCACATCTACACATTTCTGAATCCCTGCAGGGATGGGGACCCCAGCACC